CTACCCTCCAGCAGATCAACACTCCCAACTTTGGGTCTGTCAAGAGGGGTGTGTGTCAATCACTTGTGGCCACCTCCCAAAAAAATGCAATTGCCTCTACGTTGAACTTGCAACCACAGTGTCAAGTTTATCCAGTGACATATCCTGCTTCTCCATTCAATGATTATATTTGATTCACTTAGATGTAAACCACATTTAAGTGAAGAATGTCTGTCTGCCAGTAACACAGTGCCATAACTCAGCGATCCACATGCTGTTTGAAGGCTTGTTTCGGGCATGTCCTAGTGAAAGACACACAGCACATGCCCTTTCCTCCTTTCATGTCCTTATTTCCAAACACTAAGTTCAGCTTTCTGTTCCCATGTCTATAAATTACTTTACCTTTGTTACCACGGTCTTCACCCCAGGAGTTTTCCACTCTCCATTTTTCAAATGCCTCTTCTTGCCCATCCTGTGACAAAAGTCGATGGTTATTCATAAGAAGGACCATGTGAGTTTATAGCAACCAACGCTTCCAAGTCTAAATCCGGCACCAAACCACAGAGCTCCACTCCCAAAAGTCTACAGGCATTGAGAAGTTTCAGGCAATGGTTTCTTGCTAACAGTTGGAAAAATGCTGTGTGCTAAAATACTTGTCTACCCACTTACATAAAACATGAGGAAATGTGGTCAAGACAACAGCCTGCAATAAAGATTTATTTTAGCCAGAACACTTAAATTTAGTTAAATTCAAGTTTGGACTTAACAGACTGACAGAATTTAAGCATCCTTCCCTACCACCTGTCAGGGAATGGTGGCCTTCTGAAATGCAGAATGCACAACTTGCTGGAACTAGGAATCAGAGGAAAGCAAGAAGGACAATGAAGCAACTGTAATAATTTAGAGCAATATGAGTAAGAGCAAGTGCAAACCCTTGGAGAATCTAACTGCAGGATACAGCTCCAAGTTGGGTGCTTTGAAAGATATACACGGCTTGTAATGAGCACGAAGTGCATTTGTGTTCAGAAGCGTGCAGGATTCTCGCCTGCGTTGTGTATAGCTGAAGTCTGGTTCAATCTACCAAATACATAAAAGCACTGAAAACAACTTGACAGGCTTGCTGGGGCAGAGTGACTGTTTTCCTTCAGGCAACAGCAGAGCCCCTGAGGAACCACAGAATAGTTATTCTTTCACTACTAATTTTAATACAGAAACCTAACCTGGAAAACACCCCGCAAATCCTATTAAATACTGAGAAAAAACATTGCAAAGTATAAAATAAATAAAAAAGGAAAGGAAACTTTGAAGCTTATGTACAGAGCAACGCCGAGGCTAGCAAAACAAATACTAGTCCTAGATTACTGACTGATTTAAAATTATAAAATAAAAAATACAAATTCATGTTTTATAAACCTGGGGGAAAAGAATTTTCAGCACAATACAAAAATTGCACAGGAATATTGTTGTATTGGTTCTATTCTCACTTAAATACAGAACAGTCCTTACAATCGGACACTTGAGAGCTACCAGACTGAGATTAAGTCAGCTCTTGATGTATTGGACAGAAACTGGGGTAAACATGCTTACGTACATTAAGTTCTTAACCAAAAGGTGCATTTAATCCACATCAATTTTTCACATTGTAAAATCGTAATAGGATTTTTTTAAATCTTCAAAGCCTTTTTATAAAGTAGGTAAATCCAAAGTATTACATTTTTACAACTGTTTATCACAGCTCCTTTAGATTAAGTTAAGGTTTCATATAAGACAACACATTCAAACAAGAAGTAGAATCAGCTTAGTCCATTTTGAATGTGAAAAAGCCTCTAAATGCTGAACTTGTTCTAGGAGAATTTTTTTCAAACTATCTTTCGATTTTAGAAATACCACCTATCATATACTGATCTTATGCACATCCTTTGCTTAAAGAAATCAGGTCACATTTTATGCAACTATACATTTAGGCATGCAAAAGTATGAATTTAAAAATACAGACCACAGACTGCCAATGAAGTGCAACCAGTAGCTGCATACAATCAGTACAAACACACACATTTCAGTTGTGAATCAATAAATAAGTTCTGAACACTAGAAAAATACCATTTTTAGTATCTAACTGAAAAACTGACTTTTTTTAAGGATGTGTTCATGCAATTTGATACACAAAATAAAAGTGTTAAGAGCTCAGAATGCAGAACACAATAGGAAAAATTATATTGAGCTGTAAAAACTAACTCAAAAATTTTTATGACTCAGCAGTCCCATCTCAAGTCCTCAAACTCCAGAGCTCAGGCAAACTTTTTCAGTTATATGCAAGCTGTTATTTCTCAAGCCAAGGTCATGTTGGACAGGAAGAGATCACTTCAAAGAAACTTTAATAATGACAGCTTCTGGAAATAAATGGAAAACATTGCAGATAACCCCGAGTTGTAAATTTTCACATGGTTCTTTTTACTTCATATGTGCTTTGTTATACCGCCAGGAGCAGATTTAGTTGTGGATTTATCTCAGCCTACTGTCTGCCACAGAGCTATTTTGGACAACATTTCCCTTCCCTAATTATGAGTAGGTCAGAGAGGTCACATGCCAGTGAGTTGCAAAAGATCAAGACTACTGCAAAGTGCCTCCTACTGGCATTTTAACAGAAGGAGCTTCATGCTGTAAAACACAGATTGGACTAACCCGTGCAATGGGGTAGGGTAGAAAATACTTGCTGTCATACTAGATTTCTTGCTCAGCAAGATGCATCAGAATCTGTACGTAAAAATCAGTTAACATAGGTTTTTTGGTATCTTAAAAATAGAAGCTGACTTTCTTTTCCCTTTCTCCAATAAAAGTTTGTGGGCAGAAGGAAAAAAGGCCTTGACTTGCCTAAAATTCCTCCCTCCTTGTTAAATATTTATAGTTCTGAACACTCAGACAGGAACAACACAGGGAGAATAAACAACATAGGCCTTGTGCAGCAGGGTGTGCCACAACACACACAACTGAACTGGAGCAGAAGAGCTTACACACTGTGAATGAGCTCAGAACACAAACAAGCTACCAGAATATTCAAATACAGCCATGCAGGCACCAGAACTTCAGGAGGGAGATTCTACCTTCTCGGTGACAGCTGTCAGGACCATCGCATGGGTCATCATTGATTCTCCAAAGATTAATCGTTCTGCTTTGTTCATGTTCTTGATGGAGACACCGAACACCAGTTCATGATTAAATCTATTAGAAAACCACATAAGCAGTATCAAAAAGGATGCAAGGAAAATCCTCACTGTTAAATCAGGGAATCAGTAGACTGCACTGTCAGGAGCACAGCACACAGGCATACAAGTTCAACTATTTTTAGGGTCAGAATAAAAGCAAAAACTCATCCCTTTAGGAGTTTCCCTCACCAGATCTAGACAACCCAAATGAGCAAGAATATTTAACAACTACTCACAGTGCATCTTTAAAGGATCCAGATTTTAGCTAACAATTGAAAAAAATTTCTCTTGCTGCTGAATTACTTAAACATATCTTTTGGGGTATATAATCCAAAGAATGTAAATTTAGTTTCTTAAGCAGCTAAAGGACTGTTTATGTCCTAGCCAAGCGTCCCAAATGGTATTCTGTTTTGATTTTCTACTTACATATTCATGTCATTGATTCCCAGCTTGCCATAGAAGTGCTTTGCAACATCACAGCCAAACCACACAGCCTACAAACAGAAGGAAGAGTCATGTCTAAGACATATCCCACAGAGTTTTACATTACAAGAGTTGCACTGTGCCATCCATGAAGAGAAATCAAACAAACCTCGCCATCCTTAATAGACGCTGCAGCTAATTTTTTCAAGACATCAACAGGCTGGTTGTTATAGAGTGTTTTCCTCCCTCCTACCATGTTGCCCAGGTACTCCACTGTATACAGCCTGTTGTACGGGTTCTGAGGTCGGGGATCATTCACTAGACAAATCTGCCAAAAAACAGGATGCCATAAATTAAGGTGCAACTTAAGGGAAATCTTTGAGAAACTGAATCTAGATGCATTTCAGAGAACTGCTGTTGTCCCAGCTTAGCTGTCTGTCCCATTAGCAAACAAGCCACTTGGCTGAAATACCAGTTTTTTTAAGGTTTTGTTTGTTTGGTTTTTAACTTCACCTCATAACTGTGGCATAGCAGCTTTGCATGTTAATCCTCCTCTCTAATAGCTGTCTTATGGCATTTTATGACTGATTTGATCATTACATATTTTATCATTACAGAGTCATCATGGAAGTGCAATGCAAGATCAGAGCTAATTGAAGCGTAGAGCACAAACAGGAGAATGGGGAGAACAAACATAGGGCCAACTTCGAATTGTGGGAGTGGTAACCATCCCATACAGTGGGGTTACAGGAGTGGACAGTACACTTGGAGCAGTGGAAAATACGTGGCTTAGCAGAAAAAAAAAAGGTCTTGGAAAGCTACTGCCTTTCAGCACCCCCAACCTTGTCTTCCATGTTGAAGTAAGGCTTCACATGCTCATTGTAGAACTGGACCGGTGTCACAGGGCCATATTTGTAGTAGTTCTTCTCTTTATCCCGGAACTCCCAGCAGAAGGTCTCTGGAGGGCTGCCCAGGCAAGTACTCACTATTCTGAATACCTGCCCAGAGAAGCAAACAGCTGTGAGCTTGCTGAAACATGCAGGTCTGCCTCTCCTACCACAGCAATGCCATTGATGAATGGATTTCTCCATGTGAGAACCAAGTGGAGAAATGGGATCTTAATGGCCACCTTTGAAGAACATGAATAAAATGTACATACATGAATTATTTACATTCAGCTCTGGAAATCTAGGTGTTTCAACAGTTCAAAAGCAACCTGAAAGGCCACTGGAAAATCAACACAATCTCTCTCCATTCTCACACTCTACGTTCTCAGGTAAACCATCAGACAAAAACAGAAGCTTAAGGTTGAACATAAAAATTCCAAATTATCCTAGGAATGCAGCAGCCAAAAGCAAAAGCCAATACACTGCCCAGTCTCATTCCAACATTTCAGAAGTAATTCTGAAGTTCCTCCAACAAGACACTTTCCCCAGTGTGAAAGAAACTTATCAAACTGATTCTAGAAAGGCTTAAGCATTCAGCATCACCTGTTCCACCAGGTCTTTGCCCCATGCAGAGACAAACTGAACTTTCTAATATCCATACAGCAAAGCATTTTATCCCAGTTTCCCCTGTACTTATCCCTTTTTTCCCTGTAATACTCATTTGGATTTCAAAGATGGGCCTTTGCTTCTTTTCAGAAGCCCAGAATAATCTTCTCATTTGTTTTAATACATTTAACAGTGTCTTGGTTTATGGTTGACTGGCAGGTTATGTAATTTAATTCAAGATCCCTGCCGGCTGACTGTGACATCCTTTGCAGCTAGCAGCTTTCTATTGATTTTTAGCACAAAAAGTTGACCAGATTTCAAGTCATCAGCCTCCCTATACATCAGAATATGAAACTGCACTCAAGAATCACTACTGTACTTCATCACAGGGCTTATCATAAAACGTGCTAACTTGCAGGCAGCATAACCAGATGACTGTCTTGAGGGATATTTAGCAGGACCTGTCACAGGTACTCTGGGGACAGAGAATTTAATCATATTTAAACAGGTTTGAATCTGTTTTACTTCAGCTGACACTGGTCTACTTCAGCTCTGTCCATGTCTTGAGCAAGAGACAAGTCTTTTCCTTGCAAGGAACCAACAGGTTCTTTAAAAATAAGAGAAAGGGGAGTCAAATCTCAACTGTACCTTCTGCACTAGGATCCAACGCCTGTGGTTTGTGCCAGCTTTCCTAGGCTGTCAGCCTTCACACTTTCCTCTCACTGACTTCTCACAGGAGAGGAGACAGAATACCTTTCCCAAAGCTGACTTACTCTTTCTGGAGCTAGCTGAGCTGATTTATATGGATCCCAAGGCTCCACAAGAACTAGCTTTGTGCCAAGTGTGCACTTTGTGCTGATGGCAAAAGGAGTGCAATGTTCATGCTAAGTAACACTATTTGGCTGCACACAAAACACAATTAGTGTTTTTGCTCCAAGCAATTTAAGAAAAAAGTGAAGAGATTAATTATGGGTTGAAACAAGGGTGTGGGCTTAATGTTTTTACTGCAAGAACTCACATATTTATTTCTCAATAAAAATGTTAAAGAGCAAATGTAAATCCCTAAACTACTATAAATATTTAATTTTGCCCAGACAGCACAAAAGGTAGCATTTGCTGAGGATACACCCACATTGCCTCAGATAACCCCAAGTGGTGAGAGATGAGGCTATGAAAACAAAATAAGAAAAACGCCTAACAGGAGAGCAACGAGCAAGTGGGCTCCAGCCAGAGGAAGGAAAGTGATGGAGACAGGAGTCTCAAGTTAACCAAGGCAGTGGAGCCTGAGAATGGCCTCCCTCAATTGTTTTGCCACCACACCCATCATAGGCCATCTCTTCGTATCTCACAAGCTTCCTCTATCAATAAATAAAATAAGGAGACATATTTAAACTAAAAGGTGACTTATATCACTCTAGTGACAACTAGAATCAAGATAAGGCAAAGAAATAGTGGCTTGTGCTAAAAAACAAAATGAGTGAGAAGGGGAAAAGAACAACACTGCTGATAAGGAAGAGTCTACAAAGGAGAACAGTAAAGGAAGAAAAATTCAATCACATGCACTGCAGTGATTTCAACTTCTGACCTGCTCTGCACTGGTTTGATAAGAATGTTTATACAGTTCTGGAGTGAATATTTAATCTTGTGTTCCAGTACAACTGCCACATTTTAGCTAGAGCATTGCCTCCCAGCATCAGCAAATCAAGATTTGTTATGCAAATAAAACTTCACAGAACAAAACCAAGTTCTGCTTTGCCACATAAAAAAATAGATGCAATGCCACTTATACACATATAAACACACAAAATAAGAGTGGTCTCAAACATTAAAAACTGAGTGTTTTTAAAGTATACAAGACAGGTGCAACTGCACATTTCAACTACAACGTTTATTGAAAGTAAACCCACTTAAATGGCAAACCACTATTACCACTGCAAGAAGAAATAGTGTGCTAACTTCAGAGAATTAAGCACAACCTTTTACAGAACAAATGGCAATCAGTTAATGAGCCTTTAATGCTGGTTCCAGGATCCCTTGTCAGAGGGCAAGAGGCTCTAAACAAACGAAGAGACATTTTGCAGTGAACTGTATGTCGTTGCCCTAAAAATGAACATCTCTAGGAAGCTTTTGATGTCTGCTGTAAAATCCTCCAAGGGCTTTTGGACACACGCACTGCATGTAAATTATATTAATTCACTTTTGTACTAAGTGCTGATTGGCAACATACTGGGGTAGGCTCAAAGCACAGAATTACTGTTGATCTTCAGGCATACATTTCATAAAAGCTTTGGTTTCAATAACATTATGCAAGGAACATGAATCAGTTTTCTTTTTTAATCTAACCTCAAAACTATATAAAAAGCTACAGGTTTTTACACGAAGTGCAAAGATGAATTTCCAAAAACCAAACCAACACATTAATCAATACTTGCATATTAGTGGAACTGCCTGAAGCTTTACAGAAATAGCCCAGGGTAGGTTCTGCCTAATACTGATGTTTACTGGATTGCAGAAAAACTAACACACATAACCAAAACATTTGATTTCTTGAGTCACCTAGTGACAGACATTAAAACCACTGGGTCACTTTGCATTGTACATTTGAGAAACAAGTGAAATATATACTTTTTTAAAACAAATGCATGCACTTAGTCAAACTAAAACAGCCTGAACTTTTAAAACTGCTTTTGGCTGTTGAAGAATCAAGAATGAGGACTACTGAATAAAAACGGACATGTGCCTCTGTCATATTCGGTGTGACCAGGTGGAGGGCCAGTCACTACACACACACTGCCTGCTACGGACTTGCTTCTCGATTTGATTTTAAGTTAATTCACACAGCCAGAAACTGTGATCCCTCCCATCTGCTGGCCCCAGTATCAGATCGCAGCTGGATTCAGCCTTGGGGTCAGCATAACGGGGAGAGAACTCCCTTTTGTGGTTCTTCTCTGCCCTCTCGCGGGAGATTTCTGCAACACCACTTGCGCGGTAAGATTTTGCATTCAAAACCATCAGAATGCGTTTTTCAACCTGCCTCTTTCCTACTATTTATCAAAGCCTGACAGGCCATTATTTTGATCTCCCAAGATACAAAATGCTGCGTCCCTACAGAAAGGGACAGATGTCTCTAAAGTGTCATAATTCTGGAATCTATAAATTAAAGATATTTGTCTGGAAGTATTAGAAAAAACTCAGAATAAGCAACAAGCCAATTAAAATTCACCTGAATACCTCCAAGCGCACTGCCAGACAAAACAGTCCTAGTTAGGCAAATGAAAGGCACTTGTTTTGGCTGATCCAATAGCTACAGAACAAGCGTAAGCAAGAGATCTCATCCATTCCAGCCTCGTGTTCCAAAAAGGCTCATGTCACACAAGTGTTTTTACCTCTTCTATCATCATGTCCATTGCAGCACAAATTTCTCCTTTAATCATTCCACTTTCCACCATATTTCTTAGCCGCAAACAGTATTCTCTCATCTGTTTAAAGAGAAAGTAATTTTATTATAAGGGTATGAAAGGTGCCACCTAATCAGTTTAAGCACCTCTTTTACTCTTCATAACATGTTCTGAATATGAAAAGAAAATCCCTTTCAGAAGGCTTGGTTAGACATGAATTCTTTAAAAAAAAATCAAGGTAATTAAATTATTTTGAAGTAAAAGATTACAAACAAAAATCAGAAATTAACAAATAGTTGCAACTTAGTTACTATTTTCCAAGCATTGATTTGAAGCTCACAGCCATTAGCTCTAAAGGCTGGATTTCTCTGTTCCGTAACTGATGCTGCAACATGCATACACATCAGCACCTCTGACTCACAGAGAACGGACTGTCTTCATACTGTAAAATTTATTTTGCAATTCTAATGCATAATTCATCTCTTGGTTGGTAAAAAGAATGCAGCATTTCCACACCGCACGCAGAACTGCAGTAAGAGCACACGCTTCCCATTACTGTCACCATCCATAAGGCCAGTAACAGTGAGTGGGGCTCCCGCAAGACCAGCTAGTTTGCAATGTTCAAGGCTAGAATAACATTTACACCATTCATTATGTCTAAGCTCATTTCAGCACATATTTTACATTTTTTATGTGGATTTCAGCAGGCAATTTTCCCTGAGCACATACCATATGAACTGGAAAAAAAAATAATCAAAGCCCACTGTAAAAAAAAAAAAACAGCTTTAATTGCCTTTTTATCTATCTACCTACACTAGCATCTTCCCAGATTAAGTCATTTTTGTAGTTCAGGGAGAAAGCTTATGCCTTTCTCCAGACAAAGGTGCACAATTCCATACTGAAAGCTGATTTTTCAAAAAAGTATTTTCAAAACACCGAATCTTATTTTCCATCACATTTGGCAGTAATCTCTAGAAACCTTGGCTACTGGTACATGAAATACTGAGGGGGTGGAAAAAAGTCACCTACACACCAAGCACTAGTTTTGCAGAAACCGGCTTAATCAGCCACACATAAAGGATTAACTTTTTGGAAATATGAGGATTAGGAACAATTGCTACTAAAACCATGTGGGGTACTTTCAAGCTAGTGAAGCCTGGCAATGGCCATCTTCCATGAACACACTTTCCTGCTCCACGTTTCAACACTGTTGGGTTGATGGTTGGACTTGATGACCTTAAAGGTCTTTTCCAACCTTAATGATTCTGTGATTAATAGATTAATAATTGCTGAGACTTCAGGCTGTTTTTTGAATAAAAGGAAGTTAAGTTGCTGAGATGCACTTAGTACCTTGGTCAACAAAGAGAAATTAAAGCAGGAACCCTTGGAGCAGGGTCATTCCCATTCCCTCCCCTTAATTGTATCACCTAAATCAATTTTACCTTATGGTTCAAGATCTCATTCATCCTTCTAGTAGCCTCTGTGGTATGAGACTCCGGGAAGTATTTCTTGGGGACAACACCATACTTTTCTAACAGAAAGGAATAAAGCTATGGGTTAACAATTGTCTTTTCCACACAGCAGATCCTAGTGCTTCCACTTATACCCATGTAAAAGCTAAATACAGTTGGGTTTTGTTCAGAGATAAGGGAAAGTCTTATTTAAAGGTTACAAGTATTCAAAGTTCACATTTTAATTTGTGACTGAACCTTGACCTCCAATCTGCATTCCACAAGAGTCCCAAAAGGTGGAATACCTGAACTGCTCAGTATCATTTAATTCAACACTTAAAAGTTCTAAACTAATTAGTGCTTTTTAAGAAGCTCTTTTCACCAGAAAAAAAAATCCCAACCACTAATTACTTGAAAATTAAGCTCCTGAAATATCTTCTAAAAACTGCGCCTCTTATGAATTATTCCATGTATTTTATTGAAGGTTAAGTGACTACCCTGTTTCCTTCCCTCCTCAACATTTATAACACACTGGCAACAGCTCAGTTGCTCCTCACATTATGGTACCAATCAAACATCATATCATGCAAGGCTCTGAATGTAACAGAGCAGCCAAAATCTTCACTGCCCTGATTAAACATTTATAACAACTGGATGGGAAAAAGTAACCTCCAGGCTTCAAAGAAACAAATTCCTTTTGTGATTCTATACTTATATTATTGGCTTGTTGATTTACAAGGGTGTCACATTGTTTCACAATACAAATGAAAGCAAATGCTAGTGTAATTTAGACATGGGTAAGTATCTCCTTAATCAGTGTAAGGAGGATCCCACTTAAACTGGATCTTTGCAAGACCAGCATTGCCACATTCCACATTGTTTCTCTCACTGATCTTTATACCATCTTTCTTCAGGCTGCAACTCTAAGTAGCTTTGCTTCTGCCTTGTAGACACGCCCTGGTCTAGCAATGTTTTTTCCTTAACCTGTGCCCTAAAAATTGTATACATGGATACAAACAAATGATGTCAGATTGATGACTGAAGTAAAAGGGGATTGAACCTTTTTACTAAATGGAAAGTCTGGGATATCTAATTACTTCTGTTGATCTTCTGCACTTCTGTCAGCAGCAGCAATATGTAAGAGTGAAGATCCCAGACAAGATTTAAGCCTAAGCTGGCATGAAAAAGGTCTCTGATTAAAAAAAGTAGTGACTAATGGCACCACGTTCCTTTGCAAACTTCCAGGTCTCAAGCTCAATTTCTTCTTCTACTTCATTCCCCATCTCTCAAACCAGTGTGCAATTTCAGGAAGGGCTCCAAGACACCAGTTCTCTTACCAATAATGTTAACCAACATATCCCACTGTCCACCATCATTCGTGGGGTTGGAGAGCAAGAACTGTATCAGTCTTCCTTCCACAGGCTCCTTTTTCTGAGCTGTTTCCACAAAGGCATTTAAGAAGTAGTAACAACGTTCGACCTGGAACAGACAGACAGGAAAAACAGATATTTGAAGTGTGATATTGTGCATTAATTCATTCTCAAGTATTCAGTTCTTCAAAAGTCATAACTAGATGAAGGTACCTTCTGCTCATCTACTGAAATTCTTATTTTCCCTCTAGCGTTCCAGGGCTTACCCTATAAACTTATTTCTGTCAGACCAAATATTTTGGAGTGAGTTAGTACAGAGCTTGAGGGTAGGGGAACAGGAAACACGAAACAGAAGTTATGCAATGAAGCCTGGCCCAAACTAGTCCTAGATTTTCTCGATCTCCCTTAGGGGAAAAAAGCAGGCACACAGCTCACAGATCAGTAGGTCACAAGCACAACTGAAAGCTCCACAGAACATTAGAGCCATGCCTCCCCTGAGACTCCTCCAAGCACCTTTTGAAACACGCACAACACTTGAGATGACTTTTACTACTCCAAAACATTAACATCCTGACAACTTTCTTCTCAAACAGAAAGTCCCAGTTTGCTCAAGCCACATTTAAAATACATAAAGAACTTTAGAAGTTTCTTCTCATGTATATGTTTTCTACCTGGATTGTTAAAATAGTCCAGCTTAAAAGAAATTCTGTCCCAATACTAATACCCGATTGCATAAGCCGTCCTAGCACAACCTGTGACCTGTACTACTGTACCTTATCCCAGAAAAAGAGATACGACTGGCTGAATTCAAACTCTTCAATATTGTATTTCTTCATGAAAGGAAGGCGCATTGCATTGAGACAGGAGAAGATCCAACATCTCCCTGAGAGATCAAAGGAACAATTGTTAAACTGGAATGCTTAAGAGCTGCGTATTTTTTTTTTTTTTTAAACACAAGATTCATGACACTGTTCGCCTCAAGCCCTTGGCCACTGCTCTGGCTGGGACTGTAAACTACCAAAAAGCTCATGAGACATTCAGAAATCTTTTACAGCAAATGCAGGCCTCTCAGCTGATGTTATCTTACACGCTACAGAAGAGGAAAAATGCGAACGCTGCAAGTCTAAAGACTGTTATTAACTCAAGAGGATGCCGCAGGGATTCAATTTTGCCCAGAGCCCGGCAAAAGGCCTTCAGAGGCAGCCATCGCCCCCCGCAGCGCAGTCCCCATTACATCGCTCGCTCCCCAAACGCCAGAGCCGCCGAGGGAGCACACC